CTTTAAAGGGAAGCTGACACTGGGGCTCAGGCCACATACAAACAAGCAATAATAAAGGCTGGGCTTTGTTTTGTCTTCCAGTTTAGCTCTCATTTGGAAACAGGTTTCGCGAACGTCCCCGCCATCGGTGCGCCCTCTCTTCTCTGCCCTCCCGAGCGTTCCCGTTCTTCTGTCTGTTCTGCCCTTGCGTAAACTCCCAGCCTTCAGCCACCACAACTGCAAATACGGGGTGCCTTTCAAACGTTTCCTGTTCCTTATCCCATTTCTGCACTCTCATACCCCTGCCTGCACCCCCTGTCCCCACTGATGCGTGATGGCTTCCTTCTGTCGGTACACACAAACCAGATGCCTGAGGTTTCCACCTAGAGCAGGTCCTTTCGTCCCCCTCCCCCCCGGCTCACCTCTAATCAGTGCAAAAAGCATGGTTTTGGGTCAGCTCCCTTCTTCAAAACCCAGTTAACAATCCAAGTAACTGCCCACAGCCTCACCAGAAAAATCGGTATTTGCCTTTTTCCCAGGATGCGTCTCTGGCTGCTGTTGACTTTTCTCCACGTCCCGGTTCCTCTTCTCCAGACCACTGTCCAATGGCTGGGAAAAACCAGGTCCCAGGCAAGGCTCTTCTCCTTTTCTGACCTCAAGTTCCTCCTCTAGATGGCCTTGCAGAACTGCCTGTGTGACCTGACCAGCCCCCTGCTAGTCTCAGCAACCTCACGTGTCATTGGAGCCAGGATGGTCAATGGTACAGGGCAAGGGGAGCTTGCAAGTCAGTGCTCCCCAAGATGGCCTTTGGGACTCCCCAACCCCAAGCCAGGAAGGCGCACACCAAGTCCACCCCAGTGCAGATCTCAGCTCTTCAGGTTTGTGACATCCTTGCCCCCCCACCCCCAGAGGCCTCCTGACTTGTCCTGGGGCAGATCCAATCTCAGGGGTCCCTGGCAGGCACCCTGGAAAGTAAGGAGGTACCAGGAAGAGCAGCAACAGCTCAGCACTTGTGGGAGGTGGCATGACACGGGAACCCAGAGCAGTGAGAGAGAAGCGGTGGGAGAGCCCTTAGGGCCTTGAATGCCCCCAGACGCTCCTCCCCAGCAGAGCCAGCCCAACCCTTCCGTGACCCAAACCAACCAGTCACTAAATGGACCCAGCTGCCTTTCCTTTCTGCTTCCATGCCCAAGGCTCAGACCTGAGCAGTAGTTTTCAAACCTGGAATTTCCTGGAAGGTTTAGAAAAATAGACTCCCCACTCCCAGTGTCTGATGCAGGGCAATGACCCCATATTGTTACAAAGCTCTGCCAGGCCTCCCGCCACAGATTTAGATGGAAGAGTGACAGCCGCTAGCGCAGGGTTCCCGTTTACGCTTCCTGGTGGACTGCCCCCCTCTTCCCCAGTCTGGGCCCAGAGGTTCAGTCAGCACGCTTACATGATGGCCACTGTTACTGGCATAATGTCCTGTGTGTGTGTCTAAGCTTCATGGCCTACAGGACATTTCACCAGCTCCACCCAGGGAGGTCAGCTGTCCCCCCACTGCCCCACGGAGGAGTCCCAGGCCTTCAGCTCTGACACACTGAAAGTGGGCAGCACAGAGCCCCAGGTGAGGCTGCCTCCAGGGCTCCACTCTCAGGTTAGGGGGACACTAGCCTGGCCTACAAGCAAGCCCCTTTCACACGAGGACCTCCGGGGCCTGTTCTCCGCTTCCCTTTCTCCTTCTCTCCTCTGGTTTTCATGCATTCTAATGTCCTGGAGGAGCCCAGGAAGAAGGAAAGGTAAGTGACACTATGTGCAAAGCCCAGAGTCGCTGGTCTGCCTTCACCCTTCTCCCTATGGGACCTTGGTCAAGTCACCTCACCGCTCTGCCTCAGCTTCCTCACAACTGCATTAACCATGTTACAAAGAGCAGCAGAGCTGCGTGGCTGGAAGAAAGTGCCACATCCACGTTTCCTGTTATCATAATACCAGTGCGGCCAAATCTGCTCCTACAATTAAGGTGACAGAGCCCAGGGCGGGGCCGCCAGGGTTCCAAGCGCTAATCTCCAAGGCAGCTCCAGCAACCACACAGCCCTGTTACAAGGCTGACCTTGAGGGTGTCAGAAGAAGGACGTTTCTGGGGACCAAACAGATCTCCGAGCCAAGGACAAAGGCCTATGCAGCTCACCAGGTGATAGTTTGAAAGCCAGGAAGGGAAGTTTGCATGACCAGTCTTCAGGGGTCCTAGCCCAGGGGGCTCCCCCAAATCTCTGTGGAGTGTTTGCTTGTTCAATGGAGCCCCTTCCTTCCACTCTAACCTCATTGGTCGGTTCGGTCGGCTGGGGTGGGGGGGATGGAGGCAGACCTCACCTCTGGTAAAGCTGAGAGAGCCAGAACAAGTCTCTAGGGAATTCCTAGGGGGGCTCCTCCATCTGCTGCCCACCAGCCACCCCGCCCACCTCTCACCTCACTCAGCAGCAACTGCCGCTTAGGGTCGGCTCCCTAGGTGCCTGAGCCCCCAGATCCCTTCGCCTTGAGCTCTCCCAGCCCCCACCTTTTGTCCCGGGGAGGTTGGCTCCATTCTCACTTCCTGGAGAACCTTCCGCGACCTCCCCGGATAAGTCAACAACCCCCACCCCCTCGCTTTAGGTTTTCCAAGCACCTTGGCACTGCAATGTGCAGCCTTTGTAATTTTCCATTGTTAGCGGGGCTCTCTACAGCCGTGAGCGCCAGCAGCTCTAGATCAGCGCGCCCGAGTGTGCGCCCCTTGTTTTAGCCCCAGGACTACCGCGCGTGTGTGAGGCGAGGAGCGGGCAGCTCTCCCTGCCCACCCGGCCGGCCTCAGGCCACGGTGCCGTCCTTTCCCTCCCAAACGAACCACTAGCGTTTCCCTTGAGCAGGCCCGTCGCTGGTGCACCCGAAACGGGATTCGAGGCCACAGCGCTGTGCCCGCGGGCGGGGCGGCCCTCTGCCGCGTCGGGGCAGGACTGCGGGCGCCCAAACGCTGGGGCCCAAGCCAGTGCCGGCAGCCACCCGCAGCCAAGGCCTCTGAGACGTGGACACACACACTTTGGGGCCGTAAAGCAATTCTGCCGCAGGACCCGTGGGGCGCGGAGAGCGGGGCGCCCACTGCCAGGCCGGTGCGCTCGGCCACTCGGCCCCTGGACCGAGTCCCCCCGGACGGCCCGCGGTGACCGACGCGCAGGGTGCCCGGCTTTCTCCCCGGGGGGCGGGAGCGCGAGCCGCGGCGCAGGACACTCCCCCGACCGGCTCCTGCGGGCGCCCGGGTGGCCGGCCCTGGTGGCCGACGCCGGGTCCTTGCCCCGCGGCCGCCGAGCCGTTCGCACCTCGCCCGGGGGCCCTCCGGGAGCCGGTCCCCGCCGTCCCCGCCGCGCCGGCCGTATCGCTCCCAGCATCTCGGCGAGTTTCCAGTTTCTCCCCACTTCGGGAGGGAACCGAGGAGCAGGAGGAGTTCAGGTAACACTCCGGGGCCGCAGAGATTTTCCCGAAACAAAGAAACCGATCGACGCCCGCCCCCCACGTTCCTCCTTCCCGAAAGGAAGAGGCGCACCCCCGTCCCCAGCTCCGGGCTGCAGGGGGCAGGTGGCGCAAGGGCTGGCTCCGGCCGAGGGCACCCACCCGAGGGGCCCCGAGGCGCCCGCCGGCCAGGGACTCGCCAGGCAAGCCGCCCCGGCCGCGTGATGCCCACGGGGCCGCCGGGGGCGTCTGAGCGCCCGGCCCCCTCCCAGCTCCCACGGAGGAACGCTGCCCACTCAGCCCCGCGCACCTGCTTCACCTCCTGCCGCCCCCGCCCAGCGCCGGGGACGCGAGGTCGCTTCTCGGCCCTGAGCTCCCGGGACCCCGAGCCCGGACGGGGCAAAGCGCCGCTGACCTGCGCCTCGCTGGGCCCGGCGCTCGTGCCCTTCGCTCCGCCGCCGCCGCCGCCGCTTCCAGCCGAACTCGCGTCTTGCTCGGCCCGGCGCGGGAGTCCTCCACCCTCCGCGGCTCCCGCTTTAATCCCGGGAGGCGGTATCCAAATGCCCAGGGCGACACCCCCAAGCACAGGTCCTGGGTCACCTGGGGCAGGGGGAGGGGACGGGCCCCAGCGGCGGCTGCGGAGGGGCGGGCCCGGGCGGGGGTGTGGGGGAGGAGTTTCCCCGGGGAAGGCCCGGGACGCGCTCCTGGCCCGGCCCGCAGGGGACACCGGGGGGCCTTGAGGGACCCTCCCCGGGCCTCGTCCCCAGGCGGGCAGCTTAGGGCTGGGGAGGCGCGCGTCCCACTCCCCGCGGCTGCTGCACCGCGCCGGTCGCGGGCGCTTGGAGCCCGAGGACTCGATTTGGACTAAGGATGGGGCTCCGGGGAGTGCTCATCGAGACCCCTCGTGAGCCCGGGAGCTGCTGTAGACTGCGGGCCTGGGCCTGCCTCCCCGGGCCCCGCCTCGTCTCCGTGCCCCTGGCGAGGACCCAGGAGTCGGCCCGTGGGGACCAACGACCCGGGCGCTAGCGCCGGAGGACGCAGCGCCGCGCGCCAAGGACCCACCGTCATCCTCCCGAGCGGCCTTTCTCTGCCCTCAGGTCCGAAGTGCTCCCCACCCTCCTGCCAAAGTCCCCAGAAGTGGCGCGAGCACTTGCAGCCCACCTAAGGCGAGGGGACAGAGGATGAAGAAAGAGGGTGAGATGAACCTTAGTCCAGAACACGTGGCTTCCCCCCAGTCCATAAGAGGCTCTTTCCAACGCTGTTTCCAATACACAGAGTGAAGTGAACCGCTTTAGAGTAAGATGGCAGCAGGAGAAAACCTAATTCATTCCAAATTACGTTTCGCCTTGGCCCAGGGCTCCTTCCTGGGCAGGTCTCCCTGGGTGCTGGACTTTCCCAGCAAGTTCTCCAACCCTCTTCTTGGTCCTCACCCTTAGATCCACAGTAGGGACTGTCCTGATTATGTCCCAGTCCTACCCATATCTCATACGTCACCGGTGTCCAGCTTGTCCTGAGTAGAAGACCCAGAGGAACGTCTTGAGCAGATAGATCAGGCCCGGGTGTCTGGTGGCAATTCACTTAATTTTGCTTTGAATAGTGTGTTTGGAGACCCCTAGGAATGACACCATTGTCCCACCAAACCCCTAATGTCCACTGCACACTAGGTAGTCTGTGTGTCTCTCTACATTCAATAGTCCTCATATTGTGGTTATTCTCTCAACATTCATTTCCCCTTCTTTTAGCAACTTTCCGGAATTTTTGTTGGAGTATACACACCTCCCAGGAGCAGACCACTGGGCTGGGGAGCCGACCCCACCTGGGGCAAGAGGCGGACATGTGGTCAGTCTCCCACTCAGCAGCTTAACTGTATTCTCTGCCAGAATTCCTGCTTCAGGGATGGGCACTCAGGGATGGACACACTGCTGAGTGAGACTGACCACTCCGCAGTGAGATATAGAAGAGAGGTTTCCTGAGGCCTGGGGGAGTATTTTCCACTCTTTTAAGGGAACTTCCAGCAACCTTCTTCCTTGTGTTTGGAGGAAGAAGCAAGTAGTCTCGGGATTGTTGGTTGCCATCTTTCCATTGTGGGGAGCTGGTACCAGGATAAAGATAGCTCTTCCATCAAAGCCACCGCATAGCGATAACCAGAAACCCAATTCTTCCTGCCGTCACGAAACTACTGAGTCAAACCAGCTCTGAAGTTAAGCCCCCTTTTACTGCTTCTTTCATGAATACAAGTGGAAAATCAGAATTGTTTACCAAGGGGAGTCTCTGGGATGCAATGAAAACAAAACAGTATGATTATATTTTAAAAGTAAGCAACAGAGTTCTGTGCATAACAGTATGGCAGACTAGATATCCTGAACTAATGCTCACACTGCAAAACAGCCAAAAAGCCTGGATAGAAAATACATTGTTGTGTCCTTTACAATCACAGCTGAATTTGCAAGAAAACGGGAAGGAACTCCTCAGACACAAAAGTGAGTTGGAAGCATATATCCAGGGAACTGAGGAAGGAATCCTATTGGCAGGTATCTGAAATCATCTAACCACCTCTAGTAGTGCAGAGTTTTGTGGGCAAGGGTTGGAGGTACTTGTAGATGGTAAACACAGTCAAAGACCTCAGCAAGCTGGAAAGTTGTCTAGGACACCACCCCATCAAGTCAACCCAAAAAGCTCTACCCTCAGAGAAAGGACAATTTAAAAAAACATTTCTTTATAATCCACCCCATCAGAGGGTGATGACCAATAAGCTTGTCTGTATCTTAGACTTAGCTTTCAGTGGAGGAGGAATAATGCCCTCCTGAGACTTTATAACTGAGACAAGCCCTCATATGAGAATTTAGGCTTTGAACTCAAATTCTCACTTGCTTTTTGGTCAGAAAAATGTCAAGCCAGGAGTTTAATCTAAAGTGGTCCTAGATTGGTCATGACCAGGCACATGGCAGAAGCAAACTCATATCCTCTCCAGTAGAATGCTGCTTGTGATGGTTAATTTCATGTGTCAACTCAACTGGTCAAAGGGATGCCCAAATAGCCAGTAAACATTGTTTCTGGGTATGTTTATGAGGGTGTTACAGGAAGAGATTAGCATTTGAATCGGTAGACGGAGTAAAGATCTGTCCTCCCCCATGAGGGGTCACCTACAACCGGTAGGCTGAGGAAGGCTGAATTGGTTCTCTCTGCCTGAGCTGGGAAGTCAGCTTTCTGCCCTCAGTCATCAGCAGTCCTGGTTCTTAGACCTTTGGACTCAAACTGAATTATACTACCAGCTTTCCTGGTTCTCCATCTTACCGACGGCAAATGCTGGGATTTCTTGGCCTCCATAATCATGTGAGCTAATTCCTATAATAAATAAACACACACACACACACACACACTCACAAACACCTTATTGGTTCTGTTTCCTTTAGAGAATCCTGACTAATACACCCTTCAAACCAGGAAAAATTCCCACACAGTCACAATTAAAATGAGTGCTAATTTAATTAAAACAATTAAAATAAGTCATAAGAAAGTCAACAACAACATGCAATAGAATCAGACCATAGATATTGATATTGGCGTTACTGGACATAGATGAGAAAACAAGTATGTTTACCATATAAAAAATTAAAGAGAGAATCAAAAAATGAATAAGAAGCAAAGATTGTTTAAAATTACCTGGCAGAATTTGAAAGAAAATACTAAAGAGAACTTCTAGAAATAAAAAATGTAAAGTTTCAATAGCTGAAGAGGGAGTTAATGGAATATAGACCTGAAGAAATTATCCAAACTTCACAAAGAAGTACCAAGTTGGTTTTTTTTTTTAGCTTAGTTATTTATTTTTATATACCAAGTTATTTTTTTTAATATGTGAAAAAGAAGCTAAGTGGTATGGAGAACAGAGTATGACACTCTAAAATATGTCTAATTATATCTCCAAATGTAATAATAGAAATAACAAGGTAGAAACAATATTTCAAGCAATAATGATTGAGAATTCTCCAAAATTGATAAAAGTCTTGAATCTCTAGATTATTGAAGCACAAAACAAATCTCAAACAGAAAAGAAAAAAGAGGAACTTGCATAAAACATAAAACATAAAAGTTAAACATAAAACAGCAAAATTGCAGAACTACAGAATTGCAGAAATAAAAGAGAAGATCTAAAAAGCACCCTGAAACAACAAACCTAGTTGCCAAATGGAAGGCAGAATATGGCAGAATAAAACATTTAAAGTGTTGGCAAAAAATCATTGTTAATCTAAAAATTTACATCCTGTAAAAATATTCTTCAAGAAAGAGGGAAAAGACATTTTCAGACAAACCAGGACAGTGTTGATCACAAGAAAGGAACTTGAAAAGTATACAGTTCAGGGAGAAATAAACAATCCCAGAATGAAATGCAAGAGGAAATGGTGAGCCACGGAAATGGTGAAAATGTGGAAAAGTCTAAACAAATATTGAAGCATAAAATAACACCACTGAAAATGTTTAATTTGCAAAGGTAAGGAAGCAACCGCCACAGCAACAAGTAGATCTTAAGTGTTAAAAAATATTATAATAGCATGAAAACCTAGCATTACCCCTAGTGGAATGAACATAATTAAAACCTTTTACCCATTGTATTCTTCTGGAGGAGAATAAACATACCGATTAATTTTAGACTTTGTTGAACACGTTTGTAAAGAGGATAATTACTAAAGAATAAAAATAGAGTATATGTTCAAACCCAAAGTAGACAAAGTGAGATAAGGGGGGAAAACTCAATGAAACCAAGCAAAATAAAGCAAAGGAGAATGATAAGGAGAGTAGGAGGAGTGAAATTGAACCCAGAAAAAAAACAAACAAGATAAATAGGAAGCACAAAATATAAATGTAGAAATATATACAAACACATCATAATACATGTGAACGCTCCAAAATGTCCAGTTTACATGAATAAAGTTTTTAAATACATAAATCATCAGAATATCAAAAATTTTAACACAGTTCAATGCTAGTTATGAGACATATGTACAATGGACACATGTAAAAGAAAGCTGGTTTGGCTATATTAAAAATGGACAAAATAGGGCGGCGGGGTGGCTCAGTTGGTTAGAGCACGTGCTCTTAATAAGAAGGTTGCCGGTCCGACTCCCGCATGGGATGGTGGCCTGCGCCCCCCACAACTAGATTGAAAATGGCCACTGGACTTGGAGCTGAGCTGCACCCTCCACAACTAAGATTGAAGAATAACAACTTGACTTGGAGCTGATGGGTCCTGGATAAAACACATTGTTCCCCCCAAAAAAACATTGTTCCCCAATAAAGTTTTCTTTTTTTTAATGGAAAAAATAGTAAATTAGAACAAAGCTGCCTTGAGAATAAGGAGAGTCACTTTATGATGATAAGATAAACAAATCACTTGGAAAATTTAACAGTTGTAAACTTGCGTATCTCTAACAGCGTAGTCTCCTAAAGCGTATAAAGGAAAAATCTGTAGAACTACAAGAGCGTCACAAATCTACCATCATCTCTCTTAGTCCTGATAGGTCAAATGAACAAACAACAACAACAACAACAAAAAACCCCAATAAAAATAGAGAAGATCTGAGCAAACTTTATTAATGGGCATACAGTCACCTACACCAAATATGTGACCAGATCCCTTACCAGGTCAATTCTTAGAAACAATTAAGAAGCATATTATTCCAGTCTTTGGAAAATTCTTCACAGAAATAGAAATAAAGAAAATACTGTCAGACCCATCAATGCTTCAACCAGGGAAGATAGTTCCAAGAGAATTACAAGCCAATCTAGTTCCTGAATATAAATGGAAAAATCTCAAACAAACATTAGAAAAATGAATGCAACAATGTATAAAAAAGATAATGTATGACCAAGTTGGGTTTATCCTAGAAATGTAATATTGCTTTAACATTAGAAAAGCAGCTTTCAGTATAGCACAACACAATAACACATTAAAACAGAAAAACCATAAAGCAATTTGAATAACTTTAGAATCAATTCAATAGAATTCAACATGCACCCATGATAAAAATGAAAGTCCTTTGCAAAGATGAAATAAAAGGAAACTTTCTTATCTGATCAAAGATATCTATAAAAATCTCCCGGGGCCAGCCTAGTGGCTCACTGGTTAAGAGTTGGATTGGGGGCCGGCCCAGTGGCGCGTTAGTTAAAAGCTGGCTTGGGATGCCAGAGGGCCCCGGTTTGGATCCCACATATGAGGGCCAGTTACACTGCCCTCTACAGCTAAGATGCTGAACAACAGCTCGACCTGGAGCTAGGCTGCAGTGAGTCGCTGGCAACGGCAGGTAGGTTACCATGGGCTACCGTGTGTAGCCAGCAGCCAGCGTGAGCGGCCAGCAGCCACAGTGAGCGGCCGTCCAGAAGCTAGTGACTGATCTGCCTCACCCAGGAAGAGCGCAATGATGGTGCCAACTTGGGCCAGTGAAGCCACGTCCTCCACAACTAGACTGAAGAACAAAATTACAGCAACTTGTCTGTTCCCCTTCCCCAATTCCCCAGCGCTGTTCCCATCCCGCAATTCCCCAATTAAAAAAAAATCTTTAAAAAGAAAAGACAATGAATGCAGATATATTCAGTTCACATATAGAAGATGCAATGTTGTAAGGATGTCAATTGTCTCTTCACATTGACATAATAGATTTAATACTATTGCAACCAAAATTCCAATGTGTGTATTGGAGTTCATTGACGAGCTTAGTCTAAAATGTATATGCGAGAGCACGAATGAACAAAGGGCCACGATTCACCAAGACACACCCACGGAAGAACAAAACGTTGCAAGATTACTCCTGAGTAAGCCGTGGCGTTTGAGAAGAGTGAGTTGAGGGAACTGAGTCTGAGTCCTTCAGTGTAGGAAGCTATGCTATGGCATTGGTGTAGGGAAAAGAAGAAACAATGAGTGTATATATATATATATGGAGACACGAGAGGTTACAGGTGAAGAGTCTACCAGGAAAACCCATTATCCTTCTGGGAAAAGATGGAGTTAGGACCCTACATCACATCAAACACGTAAATCAGTGCACACGATTTAAATACCGTAAGTGAAAATAACAGTGTTAGAACTTGCAGAAGCTGCGGTGGCTTTGTAGTGTGACAGCTGCACTGGAAGTCCGTGTCCTGTGTGTTTCTGGTTAGGCTGGGCTGTGAGAGGTCTTCGGAGAGCTGAAGGGCAGCAGCGAGGCAGGGCCAGCTTTCGCCCTCAGACCTTATTGCTGGTCAGCGGACTCATCTCCAACCACTTCCGACCCGAGGCGGCGGCCAGGCCCGCACGGCTCCCCGTCCCCCTGTGTCCTCCAGCTTCTCCGGCTCCCAGGCCGGGTGTGTGTGTAGTTCTGCAGTGATGAGCCCCACCCCAGCTTTGCAGGGCACCCTCATGAAGGTCAGGGCAACAGTCACCCTCGTGGGCCTCAGCTCGTGTGCGTGGGTCCCAGCTTGTTTTGCTCTCCCCCGTTTTACATCTGCTGTGAACTGAATTATGACCCCCTCAATTCATACGTTGAATTCCTAACTCCAATGTGACTATATTTGTAATTAAGGTTAAATGAGGTCCTAGGGTGGATTGGTGAGTGACAAGATGGATGGCCCTTATAGGAAGAAGAGAGATCTCTCTGTGTCTCTGTCTCTCTCTCCATGTGCACACCCCCAGGAAAAGCCAGGTGAAGACACAATGAGAAGGCAGCCATCTGCAAGCCAGGAAGGGAGCCCTCACCAGGAACTGCAGAGGCTGGCACCCCAATCTTGGACTTCCAGACTGCAGAACTGGGAGAAAATAAATGTCTGTTGTTGATGCTGCCCGGTCTGTGGTGTTTTGTCATGGCAGCCATGGCAGGCAACACCCTTCCCTGCCCTGTGGTCTCCAAGCTTCAGCCTCAGATTTGAAGACCAGAATCATATAGAGGCTGGTTAGACAGCCCCCTCCACTGCACAAGGTCAAAGCCACTAACCAACCTCTTCTAAAAACACCCAGACATATATAGTACATGGAACACAAGTTAAAACCAGTAAGGGCTCGACATGGGAGAACCTGGAGGACATTATGCTGAGTGCGGTAAGCCAGCCACAAAAGGAAAACACTGTGTGATCCCACTCACAGGAGGCCCCAAATCCATAGGGACAGAGGAAGAATGGGGGGATGCCGGGGGCTGGGGGAGGGGATGGGGAGTTAGTGTTTAATGGGGACAGAGTTTCAGTTTGGGGAGATGGAAAGTTCTGGGGATGGATGGTGGCGATGGTTGCACAACAAAGTGAAGGTGTTTAATGCCACTGAACTGTACACCTAAAAATGGTTAAAGTGGTAAATTTTATGTAATGTATATTTCACCACAAAAACAAATGCCAAACTGGCAAAAATTAAAGTTGCCCAATCCCATGCATGGCCAAAATGGAGTCAGCTGGAGGGGAAGTGAGGCAGAGGGTGTAAGTTGGCACAACCACTTTGAAAATATTTCCCGTATGATGCAGTAATGCTGAAGGTGCCTAAAACCTTCACCCAGAAATCCTGCTCCTAAGTCTGTGCCCCAAAGACTCTTGCAAAGTACCCAGAAACCTCCACGGGAATGTTCGCAGAAACACTGTTCCTATTGCAAAACCCTGGAAGCCACCCGAATGTTGACAGGAAACCGCTGTCAGTTCTTTCTAGTAGGAAAAGGACTAAACCCGAAGTGCCTGTTCCTATGATGGGATACGATACAGCAGTGAGAACGGGGAAGCCACAGCTGTACCCATTGCCACAGATGAATCTCACAAAATATGGAGCGCAAGAGTTGCAGAAAGACGCACACAGACGATTCCATTTCTATAAAGTTCTAAACATCCAATATTAAAGAGTATTTTGGTTAGAGGCATATACCTATGTGGTAAAAAACTGAAAAAGAGAAAGAAATGGATAAACATGCAATTTGGTATAGGGTTTCCCCAGCGGGAATGGATGGGGGTGCAAACTGGTGGTGGTGAGGGGTGGTCTGGACGTAATGGCACTGGGGACAATTTGTTTCTTAATCTGGATGGTGACTCCATAGGTGTTCACTGTATTTTTTTCTTTACACCTTTTTACATTAAATATATTCTGTTGTGTGTCTGGAATATTTCGTAGTTTTACAAACGATGTGCGTGTAATCATTAAACTAACTGGTTTTTAAATGTCTGGACCAGAAAACGAGTCCCTCGATGGGAATGATGGAGCTATTCATGATCTGTCGATAAGGAGATGATCTTTCGTCCCGTGCTGCTTAAGATGGAGAAGACAATTCAGACTTTAGTTTTGCGGTTAACTAGCTCCAGTGTCCCATCGGTGCCCATAGTCAGAGGAGGAACAAGAACTAACCAGTCCTTCAAAATACAGAGGATGGATTCCCAGCCGAAATGACGTGGGAGGAGCGTTCGGCGCTTCGTGGTGAGAAGCCACAGGAAGCCATCTCTCAGCGATGCCAGGCCTTCAGCGTGTCCCTAGGACGTGGACGAGGTCCCTTACCCACACACCACTGCTGGGAGAATTTGTCTCCCGTGGGCCTCTTCGTACAGTCGCCATGCTTTGTTCTTTGGATGAACTCAGATTCCAGTGGTTCAAACAAGGAAAACGTTTTCAGTATTTGTTGTTTGTCACGGTTGAAGCGTATAAGGCGTGGCCCCAAGGTTCAGCGTGTCCTCAGTCTTGGGCTGTAAAAAGAACAATTACTTTTTATTAAACATTTACTGTGTCAGTCAGCTCACTCGAGTTTGCACTGCCTCCTTGGGAGATAGGAACATTGATTTCTCCCCTTTACAGTTGAGGACCCTGGGGCTCGGGACGGACCTGACCTGCCTGGTCACACAGGTGACCTGCCTGGGCACACGGGTGGGCTGAGACCAGAGCAGGGTCTGTGGGCACAGCGGCCTGTAGGTGTCTGAATCAGAATCAGGTGTACCAGGACTAGGGAAGGGCCCCCTGCTCCCAGTCTGCCCCCAGGGACCCCAAGTCCCACAGGCCTCCTTGGCTCCAGAGCCTTTGCAGGAGCAAAGGGTGTGCAGGGGTGTGGAGTGGGGGCAACTGCAGCTGGCAGTGAAGGAGGGACACCTCAGCCTCCTCCTTCCTCTCCGTGTACCTCCTCCAATGCCCTGAGTCCCAGGTATCTGACCTTGGTCCTCTCCCCCTGGCTGCTCTCACGTCCACGGGGAGACACCTCACAACGTCAAGGGACAGAGGACAGGGCTGGCTGATGTGCACTCACTGAGATCAGCGGGTCTCTTTGAGCCCGGCTCTGGGGGCTAAGTTATAACTTGAACTGCCCCCAACACACCTAATTCCTAATGATGGAGGAAACACAAGACAATCGCAACAAAAATTCCACTTGGGTAAGAGAAGGAGAAGCAGCATTTGGGGGTCACCTGACCTTTCTGTACCCCTCTCCAACAGGGAGGACTGGGACATAGTGCCCTGCTGTCCTGAGAGGTCCTGGTGGCCCCCAGTCTGCCCTCGGGCACTTCCTTTGGAGGAGGGTGGGGGTCGCCTGCTGCTGACCTGCTTTGTCACCGCTGCTGGGCCGGCAGCCACTTCTGCCTCGGGGCGGACGGACTGCCGGCTTTTCTGGGCTGGACCAGGCTTCTGTGGCCTCAGGCCTGTGGCAGGCTTCCTGGGGGTTGCTTTCCACCAGCATTCCGGTCAGACAAGCTCCTCGCAGCTGGACGCAGGCTTGGTCCAGCTGGGCCTTACCAGCCAGTGTCCTGTTACAGAGAGCCAAGGGTTCTGGGCAGCGGTCCCACCGGCCCCCTCGGAGACCTCCCCCGTCCCAGCCTGACCAGGTGGACGCGGCTCGCTCTGGCCTTTTACATAGCTTTGTGACTTTTTTTTTTTTTTTGCCTGATGTTCTTTCTCCTCTAAAACTATGAATTCCTGAGGCTTATTCGGGAAGAAGAGGCGAGGGACACAACCTGGCATCTCCCAGAGTACAGGCTCTTGGATTATAACCTGGGCGGCTCCTAGCTGCGTGCGCCCGAACGCCCATCGTCTGCACGGACCCTGATTCCTAATCGTACCCCCATTCTCCCCCACCCCTGCCCTACAAAACTCCGCTGCCCTGAAGTGAGCCGCCCAGCCTGGGACCACCTGCCCTGACTCGGACCCACATCATTACGGCGATGGAGCCTGGACTCTCAAGATGGCACCCACAGCTCTAAGAACCAGAAAGTAAAGGTATTCACTTCCTACCTTTGTGAATTAATCCATTTTAGAATTAACCCCCGGTGGGTGAACCATCCACCTCAGCCTGGTGAGCTTCAAGCTGTCCTTCGTGGCACTCCATCTCCACCTCAGAGCACCAAAGACCCGTTACCACCGGACGCCCAGTACCTGCCGTTCCTCCAGAGAGCAAAAGATGGCGTTCTCTCTGCCTCACTGAGTGAAACACTTTCCTGCATCATGTCAAGACTACAATTTTCATTACCTTGCTGAATGCCGGCATTTGAGACAATAAATGGGGGCATAATTGCAGGCTCCCTGGTTAAATACAAATGCTGAGCCTATCTGGGTACCCGCCGTGCCCTGGAAAGTCTTTTAATAGATGTAGTGCTGGCTCTCACAATAACAATTTAATGCGAAGCCAACTGTGGAAAGGTCAGCCTCCAGAATTCTGTTTCAAGCCCGCACCCTGGACTGTCTGAAAAGTGCGGCTTTGAATGAAAGCTTGTATAAATCAGGACTGGTGAGACAGAAAGGGGAGACCACCCCCAGGAACCCTTCCCTTTCAAGTCCCAAGCTTCCCAAGACAGCAAGACCCATGTCCTCCCCCCCACCACACACACACACACACACACACACACACACACACACGCTAACTTTGCATTTGCTCCAAGAAGCCTGTGGGGCAAGGCAGGTCTCTCAGGGGCACTGGAGAGGTGCCTGGGTGGGGCCAAGGTGGGGAGGCCACCAGGAGGTCTGAATTGTGTCCTCTGCCCACCTCTGCTGGCGTTCACTTTGCAGAGAAGGCGCAGGATTTCACTGGAGAACACGTGCTACTACGGGAAAACGTATGTGGGCTGGGTCAGAGCTCGGAGTGTCACAGAGCCATTCAAAGAGCCTGGTGTGACCTCAGTGGGGAGAGCAGTGAGGTTTTCAGAGGGGAGATGGGGCAAATTTGCACTTTTGGTTTTGGCCTCTTTCCCCGCCCTCAACCAGGTACACAGCAAGTAGGGGAAGTGCGTGTGTGTGTGCGTGCGTGCGTGCGGCTCAGTGAAGCCCAAGGGACTAGTTGTAATCTTCATTCGCACAAATAATCTTCCACCCTTCTTATTCTTTTTAGCATTTTATTAAAATTTGTTGCTAAATGAGCAGTACAGTTTTTATTGTTGGCCTCAGAATGCATGTTACCTAGGTCTCCTGAGATAAATGAAAATATGTTACCAAATGTAATGCATTTCCAGAAAGCTTACTCATGAAATGGGCGTCACCGAACCCCGGACCTGAGCCTTGGGTCTTCATGCTACTGCTTCTCCCCCAACAAAGACAAGTCTTTTCAGGGGTGCTGATGATCTGGATAATTGTTTTATTTGAAAAGACAAAAAAAGAAAAATACTATTTCATTGATTAAGTTCTTAAAAATCTAACACTTAACTTTTTCTCCACATCTTTCTAAAACATGTTTATTTTACATGCTTATACATGATTTCTTTATTCTGGCAAAAATACACAGAAATAACTTAAAAACAAAGATTAAGCCAGGCTGCCTATCCTAGGTCTGGCTGCTGACTTTCTCAGAGCCCGCCAGTCCCTTCCTGCACCCCCAAACATGGCTGCTCTGGGCCAGGAAGTCAATTTAGGGAGCTGCATCTGTTCTCTGTTTTGGTCCTGGTTATGACAAGGTTCACAAAACCCTTGTGTCTCTTTGTGCCAAAGAAACACTC